CACAGAGTACAGTCCAGTTATACAAACACAATTGACACAAACCAAACGCTTAAAGCACAGGGTGGAAAACACAGCAGTCACAAACACAGGCTATATGAGGTAAAACTCACAATTAACAAAGGGGAACAGATATTTCAAAGTAAAATTAAAAAGGTTCGCAAGGGAAACAGATCATGGCAGACAAGGGCCATGTAATAATCAAATGGCAAATTTTAAGAGAAGAATTAGAAACCAGGCGTAGTAGACAGAAACAGTAACACATGGAATGGCGGTGGAAGGTGCAGCAACAGGTCTGCAACAACATATGGAATACAGGTGTATGGACATATTTTGCATTTGACGCAGACCATCATCAGGACAAATTACAGACAACTGGCCAGAGCATTTCCAGCAAAACACCTCCAACCCACATATCAGGATCTGTACAGAGAATTCAGGTTGAGTGAGTTCTGTTTGACAGAATGTCGTCAAAATGACACTCTGTCAGCTGCCATCTGTTGTAGTGATGACACACACGCACACACACACGCACGCACACACGCACACGCACACACACGCACGCACACACGCACACGCACGTCATCTTAAGCTGGGAGTTTATAACATAAATAGGTTACCATCATTCTGTCTGTCAAAATCTAATCTTAACTTGTTAAATTAATATTATCCCACTATTAGTCAGACACCTTGCTGGTCAATTTTAACTACTGCTTGCACACTAGCTAAATGGAGTAAGCTCACTGTGTGAACAATAGCCTCTGTTATATTGTACTATTTGCTGTGATAATTAATTTGTTATTGAGAATCATGGAATTTCAATGACACTGGTGTCACCTAAGTCTCTGGTATTTGACTTTACAGAGCCTCTCTTATATTCTGTTAGAAGGAATTGAAGGCCACAGGGTATTAAGAGGAGAAACTCTATCACTAGAAAAAGCAATTTTATGGAAAGATTTTGCAAACCCTTAGATCAGTATATGATTGTATGGGCTATTTGACTTAAAAACTGAGAAAAGCTAACTTGTTAAGACTAGATACTGTATCTGAAACATTGTCTTATTTACACTGTTTTATTTATCACAGACTTTACATCTGATGAACAAGTCTCAAGTATTAAAACAAGACAAAAAGATGTATGCACAAGTGCAGAGGTTGGACTAAAGAAGTAGCTTTTCAGTTAGCTTTCGGGCAAACCTTAAACTACCAACATAAATGAGCGGCACGTCCTTCCACACCTGTCCTGTGGAAAACAAGTCAGCTTGCCTGTAGCGTGGCTCTGACTACAGGGGTTCATAGGATCTGATGTGAGGTGCATACAGTCTACATTCACAGTAGTTATTCAACATGAGTGGCTGTACGTTTTAACATATATTCAACATGTCAGACTTGATGGCTGCTCCCTATGGTTAGTCTCTCTCCTCCACCACAAACCACTATATTATGACCTTCACAACATTAGTTTGCACATCACTACAAAAAGAGAACAGAACTACCTGCATTGACAGGTCATATAGATAATACATTGCACATTGACTGTCCAGTGTGAATGTACTGTAATTCCTAGGGATGCTGAAAAGGAAGAGTAGAGGGGAAGGCGTTCAACCTCGTCTCTGCCAATCTCTGGATGCACTTTGACAGCCGCTTCATTTCCCATGCCCATTTTTGGTTTGTCCTTCCGGTAACAGTAAGCAGAGATGACAAGGAAAAGCCCTTTCCCACACTAGTGCCTCTGGCCTCTGTTGAGTTTGCAGAGGTCCAGTCAGTAGCTCAAGGCAATAGGGCGATAATCCTTGTGTGCCACATCATCTTATATAACACACATTTTGAGTGTTTGCCACCGGGGATGATTCATAGTTGGTCCAGAGGGGAGAGAGGAGATACTATTGCGTAATAATAAGCCAACTCCAAAGATGAAAACAGCATAGAGCCCAGGGGAGGGGGGGGTAATAGACTCTTCCAAAGTCTGAGCTTTTTTTTTTTATTGCTTTTCAGCTGCTGCTGCTTTCACAACATTCAGCTAAAAGGTAAAGCCAGGGGTACAAAAAGGAACTAATCCCACTCTTTGAGTCAGCTCCTGAGTTTTGTGAAAAGGAGTATGATAAGGTACAGTTAGGGGGGGTGAATTGAAGTAAATTTTACACGCCAGGCTAGACAGAGCATCAACTGCTGAGATTCAAATGAAAAATACACCCAACAGCACTGTGATTTTGACCGTCGGGCTCACGCACAAAAAAATTCTAAAGCCAGCCAAGAATCAACAATTAAACAGCTGGCAAACTTAGGAGTCGTGTGTCAAGGTTACAGCATCAGAGAACGATTATTTTTTGAAAATATAAATGTTCCTAGATCAGGCTGTTAAAATCTCACACAAAGTATGTGTTCCTGTTCTGTGTCCCTGTTTTTCTGGTCTCTCCTCTAGCTCCACCCTGATTAAACCGATCAGTCATCAATGAGGAGATGTAACTGGTCAGTGAATTGAGGTTCTTTAAAAAGTCCTGTGATGATCTGAAGAGAGGCTTCCAGTGTGGGAACTGCTGGTTCCGCTGGGCCTCAGCCTGGGATTTTGACATTGTGTACTATGTCATTTGATGTTAACAGAACCTATGGTTTGGGCAGTTTTAAAGGCTTTCTGTTGTTGATTTGTGTCCGTGGTGGTCAGTGATCTAACATGTTGTGTGCTCCATAGAGCCACATAATGGTGGGGTGTAATAATATTACAAAAACATCTATTATTTCATATTGTCTATTACACAGTGCCACAAATCACTATATTTTTCATCCTTTTTGTTCTTCCACGTGGATGCAGGCAGGAAATTTGACTAAACACGTCACAGTATGGGCAGGACGACTCTGGAGCACTGCCCTCCAGCAGTAGCAGACTCAGCAGCAGCTTCATCTCTGCTGCAGTGGGTGATCTGGCTCCTTTTATTTGGTTCATTCTCAGTTTCAATCATGACAGATTGTAATCTGTCATGATTTGCAACTTCTGCAATTGTAATTCCCTTGTAGGGTTTTCATGTTCTCCCCAGGACAGCATGGGTTTTCTCTGGGTACTCTGGTTCCATCTCAGAGTCCAAAGACAGGCAGGTTAATTGTTCGTAGGTGTGAATGTGAGCATGACTGGTTGTTTGTCTCTATTTGTCAGCTCTGCAATAGACTGGCAAACTGTCCAGGGTGTAGCCCATCTCTCAGCCAGTGGCCTCACCCACAACCCTAACAAAAGAGAACTACCATTGATAATAACAGGATGATGCACACTGCAGGGCTGAAGCAGTTGACACAATATGTTATCAGGTCAATAATTAAAAGATTAACTAAAAGTTTGGAATGAAATTAAAGATTTTACTACAAAAACACTGTTTGGGAAACGGCCTTGTGAAATGGAAGCGGCACAATCTTTTCTTGTCACACTACTTATACTACAACAAAGCACTGAATACCATTGTCCACCATTCCATTTGTACAGTCATCACACGTTTCCCTATGACTTCAGCAAAAAGGTCACAGGTTTTCACTAAGGCATCAGCAGGCATGTGTGGACTTTGTGATTCATGTTTTGTAGTCGTGAAGATTTGGTTCTACATATGAATTTTACAGGAAGTGGAAGTTAGCTGTAGAATACAGCGGTTCTGAAACTGAATATTAAACTGAAACCTGAACAAACCAGTTCCTACCCAGTGGCTTTAAACAAATAATGTATGCCTGTGGGTAGTAAGCACCTGCTTGTGCAGGTTTTGGTATGCGTGTCCTTGGAGCAAGAGCTGTACACGAGTAGAGCAAATAGTCAGCTTACACGATGCACCAACTTGCGACACGTGGCGTGAACTCAGTGCTTTATTTATTTTACTTGATTTTTAGTCTACTGACCTCATAGCTCCGGCTGTCAGTTTGGTTATCATATGCTAACTTTTTGAATAAAGTGCACAGAAAAAAGTTTTAATGGCGAAAAATGAACCCGATCATTTTGTTGACTTCATTGCTACTGTTATATAGTTAAGGCATTAATGCCAGCAAAATGAACATCCATTTAATTTCAGCATCATATCGTTAGTAGGCAAGACCACGCGCAACCCTGCAAACCGCGTTGGGTTCTTTTTCTTCTTCTGTTTAATGGTGTCTAAACCAGCTGCAAAGTGTTTTAACACTGCAAACATCAGAGGCAGATCAGAGGCTATTTTCACATCTGTTATATTGGTTTGAACTAAACTGATCAATCTGAAAGTCAGACCAAACAAATCAGATATAAAGGTGTCCTTTGGATAAGTCAACATGCACATAATGAGTTTCAATCTTGTCATGGCTTGGATCCTATGCAGGACTTTTATCGTTTTGACTTGTCTATAAATCTTCTTGCCACTGTGGTAGCAAACAGAAAGTCTTGATTTACCTTCACTAATTTGAATATTTTACTCATAAAGCCTCATCTATTGGTAAAACATTTATGACACTATTTTGTTGCAAAATCACAATTTAAAGAGTTAAGAAGAAATACACATTTCAAAGAAAATCAAGCGTTGTTTTATTCTCAAACTAATCACGACGAAACAGCTTGATAGTGATGACCAAAGTGAGTTTTTAAACTGTGATTCACTAAGAAAAGCACTGTACATCAACCACTGCCAGTAAAAATCATGACAAATCAGTGATGACATGGCAGACGTGTCGTAAACAAAGCATAACACACCTCAACACAGCACAAATCCAGGAAGTTGTGGTTCCTATAAAGAATGAATATACAGAATCATTTTGATCTGAACACTATATACTGTAAAAAAGTATTCCCATGTCCTTCACAAGTGGGCAAGCAAACATATATACACAGTAGGAAAGAAGAAACTTAGCATGAGGCTCGTGTCAGTGATGTAATTGGATTCTTGGGGACGCTGTCCACAATGACTGCACATAAATAAAGAAAGTAAATACATGTGTTCCAGATGTGTGAGGTGTTAGCAAGCTCGCTGACAGCTGCAGCGGAAAGAGACATCTGAAAATGAGCCTACCTGGACTCTTGAGGTTATATTTATTCTCCATGCTGGCAGACGGTGAGCTCAGGTAAGTGCTGCTGAGTTTCTTTAGCTGTCTCGCTAGCTGCCTAGCTACCAGCTACCTGCTAGCCCCGGTTAGCTCTCTTCGGTCCTGATCTACGGGCAGGGACGGTCCTTCCGTCTGTCCGGTGCCTCGGTGCGGTAGAGAAGACGGAGGCTAACTGAGACGAGCCGCCACCGAAGTACTGGGGAGTTTGTTTCTCAAGTTATCTGTTGTTTCGGTTCTCAAACTCATCCGTGGAAACGTAAACAGGAAGTGAGTGACTGGCTTGTCGGGCTTTTTTTAACCAACCTTAGTGACAGAAGACCCACCCTACCCTGCCTCTGATTGGCTTACCTTGACATCCGTCTCTAATTTTGACCAATAATCAGTGTCCATGTCCAAACCTAAGCCAATCAGAGACATTGTAGGGGCGGGACGGCTGGGGTAAGGATGGAGGGATCGAGCAGTGGTTAAATGTGTGTCCTTCCTCTGCTGCTCAGATCTTATTAGAGACACTGTTGTATATGTTTGTGATTGTGATTGAGTCACACTTTATTGTTAACAATGACCACAAGTACAAACCCTCAAGGCACATGTCAACAGTTCAAAACTAATGCAACTTATGCAAACAACTTTACACACTTGTCTCTTGTTCATAGTTTGTCATCTCTTGTGTTTAGTCTCTTGTGTATGGGATTATTCATTGTTCTGTTATAGTTAGTACTTCACTGCGTATTCTAGTACTTCATTGTGTGTCATTTACTCAGGGAGTCACATTTATTACATTCTATTTTGAGCTATTTTAATTCTTCTCATTTGTTTTGTCGTTGCTTCGCTTTATGTGCAATGCTCTTGATAAAAAAAAAGTTACATCTATCCATCTATCTATCTATCTGTCTGTCTGTCTTTCTGTCTATCAATCCATCTATCTATCCATCTATCTATCTATCTTTCTATCTATCTATCTATCTATCTATCTATCTATCTATCTATCATCCATCCATCCATCCATCCATCGATCTATCTATCCATCTTTCTATCTATCTATCCATCTATCCATCTATCCATCTATCCATCGATCCATCTATCGATCGATTGGTCTGTCTATCTATCTTATTTCAGTGTTGATGCTGTTTTAGGAACAAACTAACACAAAAAAATAGAGGAAAACTTTGAATGAATAAATATACAGCATATATTTTTTTACAACATGCACTATACAACAGGGTGCGTTGAAGATATTTTGCACATATATTTAGTTCACTGTTCAATCCATTGCTATGGGGCTTGACATTTAAATATTAACGTCTAAAGCCTAACAAATTCAAGTTGTTTATCCAAGTTTTAGTTCTCCAGCTGTCAGGTTTCTCCAGTTTTCAACATTACATTTAAAGGGTCCTTGTGTCTGTGGATTGGAGCCAACCCTGAACTGAACACCAGATTTCTTGTAAATCCTTTTTGCATAATCTCAATGTCCCCTACATGGACATTATTGATTGAATACATGTCTTTGAAAATATTAGAATTTCACTTCTTTGGCTTTAGGTATATATCTATGTTTTTTTTTCATCCCTTCTTCCTTACCATCAGCTCAAAGATAATAGTTTTTAGTTGATCAGGGTAGTATTGTGTTGCTAAAACATATCTGATAAACTTATTAGAGAGTTGCTTAAGTTGACTCCTTCAATAGAGAGTGTCCTTGTTTCTGAAACAGTATGAGAGTTCAGTGCTATAAACTGTTGTGCTGTTAAGATGGTAATATTTTGAGCTCTCAAGACTGAAAATTCACGTACCCAATGTGATAAAAATGTTTGAAAAATATGTTTATATACAGTATGTCAAATGTATTGCATCACTGGTTCTGGGTACCTTGTAGTCGTGAAAATGTTATTCTTAATTTATTCCAAGGAATATAAACTGGGGAGCAAGCTGCCTCAGGCTGAAGGCAGTGCACACATGTAAGGACTTTGCATTTAGGTTAAGATTGTCATGGTTACGTGGTAACAAAGTCCTTACATGTCATAGTATGCACAGACTTCTGCCCAAGCCTTCTTGCACACCACTTTATATTCCTTGCAAAAAATAGGGATTTCAATTTGTTCAGACTTATTAGCTGTTTAACAAATAATAGATTTTGTGCTCACTAACCAAGAACACTTTATCCATATATATGCTTCTCTAAAATTTGATGCTCTATAGATTATGTGAACATTTAATTATGCAGTTTGTGCAGATACTCACACACCATATGTGTAAGAATTAAAATGTCTTCTTGCTGAGTGCTGAGGGAAGCTGGTGCCTAATCACTGGGTGTTTTTGGAGGTGCTGTCAAGTGAAAATGGAAAAAAATAATCCCATGTCCCATCTTTCCTCTAATGTTGCCTTACTTGTTACTGCCACTGGCGCCATGTTGATGGCAGGCTTGACATCTCCCAGGTTGATTTTTAAACCACCTCTGCACGATACACTGCTGACACCTTTCAAATCCCACAAAATAAAACACTCTTGCTCGATTTCTCTCTGTGTATACAATGCATCTTTATGTTTACAGCAGCTTAGACCTCATTGCCTCCAGCCTCTCTGCCTCTTCCTGCCCCATCCTCCACCAACGGTGACAATTTTAACATATCAAAATACATCTTTTGCACTTTAATGATGCAGTTATTCAAAGGATGAGATGTCAAGAACCTGTCAGTTTGAGGGATGAAGCAATACACAGAAATCTGAGTTGCAGCCCAGAATCTGTGTGACCTTTTACAAAGATTTTACAGGTGGCTTAGAAGCTCAGTGGAAGTGAATGGTGGTTACACTGACCTACAGCTGTTAACATGCTCTTTGAGTGTTTTTTAAATGTTAAAGCAATTTGTTAAAATCCAAACACTTCAGCTTTGTATCATAGAAATTCAAAGTGAAGTTTTTTACTACAATAATTTATGATTTTATTATGTATTCGTACTTTGTATTTGGCAAACACCCTCAAATATCTGCAGCTCTTTTAAAGCAACAGTTTTGCTTTGTGCCATGGTCCATTAACCTGCTGGAAGTAGCCATTAGGCGGTGAACTGCCGCTTAATGTTCAGCAGCGGTATAGTCTGATAGGCTGTTGCATTGAATCCATGATTAAGGGCCCAAAATGTCCCATCCATTCTGACTCTACCATCTGCAGCCTCAGCAGAAATCCACATTCATCAGACCAGGCATCTGTCCAGTGTTGGTGGGTCACTGCAGTCACAGCTTTCTGTTCTCTGTCTCATGGTCTTCTTCTGTTGTATGACAGTTATTTTATATTTTCTCATCATGATGACTTTGTTTTGAAGATATTTGTCCATAAAAAAGATGGGGCTATATCCTTTTATGTATTTACAGTACATGTACATGAGAATTAAATCAAATCATTTGATTGTTTTCAGCACTGTATTCTACAGCAGAACAGCATTGGCTGTCGGACAATAATAACTTTAAGTGAGTCCTTGATTGCAATCAATTTACATCATCATTTCAAACCAACCACTGGGAAAAGCTAACATCAAATATCCAGATCACATTGCACAGCAACAAGGGGATGCTTGACCACTGACTCATGTCACACCACATCAAGTGAAGTTAAGTTATTCTGCATGTGTGCCCACGCACTTCAAGCGTCGCAGTCGATTGCTCTGGTCACATACTGATGCCCGTGGCGTTCAAAACAAACCACTGCAATGTCAAAGCCCTCCGGAGTCAGGGGCATGACATATACTCCACATGTCTAACCTTTGGTACGTAGTGTAATATTCAGAGAAGAAATGTCTCCCTACAGCTGAAAGGAAGTATAGGGGCTGCTTAAAGATACAGAAGACTTCAATGAGGTCTTGGAAGTATTGTATCTGTAGAGAGAAGACAAAACCTAGAATATTTTAGGTCTTTATTTAGATAGGATGGATGGATATATAAATAGATAGATCGAGCTTCAGACCCGAGAGACCATTTTTAGATTTGACGGTTGTCACTCACCCCCACTCCCCACCCGTATTGGCCCACATTTTATTATATGACTGAAATTAAGGAAACTTGTTTGAACTCCTCTGGCTGAAGAAATAAGTTGCTTTAAAAGAAACAAATGGATTTTGGTTACGTTAATTTTGTTGCACATTGTGCTTTCCTTCTTTGGAATTTTTATTTGCGACAGCATTCATTATTTGAGAGCTGATCATATTTCAGGAGCCTTCAAGAACTTAAGGACCCAAGATGACAATGGGTTTATAAGAATTCAAGGACACTTCGACAAGGCAGAGGATTACTCACCTCAAATCCGAGCTAACCTCTACTTCTATGGAGACATAAGAAATCATCTCAGCATCACAAATACACAAATAGCAGGCGTATTGAGCATTGTTGAAGTGCTCACTCACCATCTCATGCTACTAATTGAAATGTCTGTGACACATTCACAACTTATCTGCTTGTTGATCCAGCGTGACACAACAATTAATGTGCATTATTTCTGCAATTTCCTTGATGCCACATTAATGACAAATTACAGCGTAAGCGAGTGTAATTGCCAGATCCTCAGAGCATTCGCAGCCACCATCAACTGTTTCCTTTGGCTCTATCACTCCTGCTTTTCTAGACACTGAGGACTGAAATGTGGATGTAAAAGGAAAGCCAACACTTAACATTCAAAGTATCCCACACATTAGCATGCAGGCCCGATGTTTCTTTTTTACAATGTGTGTCATGTGCAGACAGGCGTGCATTTTCACACACACACACACACACACACACACACACACACACACACACACACACACACACACAGACACTTTCTCATACATACACATAACCCAAAGGACTAATGCGCCTCATCAGTGTTCTGAATAAAACAGTAAGATGTGGTTGCAGAGGATAGAATGGAAATTGATCGGGGCTGATTTCGCTTGCAGGGGATGTTTCAACAGTTGCACCAATCAGTTTAAACTTTAAACTCAGGGATGGCTCACACAATGAAGTGCAAACAATCAATCCATACTACTGAAACAAGAAGAAGTCTGGTGGCATCTCTATGTCATGTCAAGTGTGATGGCGAGAGATAAAGAAGATTCCCATGTTTACAATGCTGGGATTATTGTAGCAGCTAATGTTTGACTACACCCCTCCTATTTGCCTTTAATTATACAGAAACTAAGCATCTTTAATGTATGCTGTTTAATGATGAATATCTCCAAAGGCCATGCTTGTTTACTAACTTGTCCCCCAAAGTCAATTGCGAGTGCTCGAGCGCTTCCTTTCCAGTGATGTCACACAGAATTCCTGATTGGAGTGCAATATGGAA